CTTTTCCAGCCTTTTCTCGGCATCAATCCTAAGTATTTTTTTTGCCATAAGGCTTTTACCTACTTCCCAAATCACAAGGTCTTATTCCCAATATTTATAAAGTTTTTTATAAAACAGATCTTAGTGTGTTTGAAATCCTCTATTAAATGCCTTAAGAGAAATCACTCACAGCAGTTCTCATGTGTTTGATCAGATTTTCAAGGCACAGTGGGAAAGCACAATGGAAGCTTTCCTGCTCAGATGCAGCACCTAGCAGAGATGCAGGAGAAGCTTCTCATGCTTTCCCATGTTCTGGGCTCTGGTACAACAGCCCATGACAGAATTTGACCCACTGTTTACACTGTGAGGGAAGCGACTACCAGAAACATGACCAGCAGTTCCCAGAGCAGCTTCCCAGAGGAATACAAAGGGTTGGTTTGACAAAGAAGTCCTTTTCACTCAAAGTGATCACTCAATGACCAAACATCATTCATGATAACACCTCCTAAAGCTGATTTTTAGCAGCCATTTAGCTGACTTAGCAGATGATTTAGCACTCACAGTTGCAAATCCACAGTCCACCTTGCTGATTTTCTCTATGGACTCCACTGCATCTCTTCCCAGCTCCAGGAGTGTGGGATCTCTCGTGGCACGGTACAGGTACATTGCACTCTCAATCAGCTCTGCAAAAACAACCCAGACATTTGCAAGCATAAACATCACCAAACCACATACTCAGGGAAGATGATATATTGGAACAGGTTGCCCAGGGATGTGGTGGCTGCCCCAACCCAGGCAGTGTTCAAGGCCAGGCTGGATGAAGCCTTGAGCAACCTGATCTGGTGAGGAGGTGTCCCTGCCCAGGGCAGGGGGTGGGATTAGATCATCAGTCAGATCCATTCCAACCCCTAAATTCTATGATTCTATATTCCTTGAACTGATCGAAAAATAGTTCAGGATGATCAGGCCTTGTGTTTCCTCTGGCTCCAAGCACAGATTTGCTTTGCCTAAGGATGTGTTCCAAAGAAATTCCCTCCTGTTAGATTGCATCAGCTCAGGTAAGACTGAACAATGCCCTCTCCCACACTGGGAGTGGGAGGGGAGCAAGAGAGAGAAAAATTAAAACTCAGTTGTCATGGGAAGGAAGAAAGATGTTTCTAGAAAGGATTACAAGCAATTCAACCCTCCAAACACAGTTTTTAAACAATGCAGTGAGCCTCAAAATAGGGGCATCTAAATCACCACGAAAATAAGTGCTGTGGAAATGGTCTCTATAGGCAACATATGCACTGTGCTTAGGGGCATCTAAATCACCACAAAAATAAGTGCTGTGGAAATGGTCTCTCTATAGGCAACATATGCACTGTGCTGTGTTTACTTACTAAGGTCTTTCTAGATGCTATTAAAACATTTGAAAGTTAATGCTGATGAGTATTTTTGGTAGAAGTGTCTAGTGTGGATGTCACCTGAGCACTCAGACCAAAAGGAAATCAATTATTCTCATTTACAAAGCTTTATGGACATAAGAATCAGGTTTGATTTCTCTTCTTTGGTCCTCTCATTTACAAAGCTTTATGGACCTAATAATCAGGTTTGATTTCTCTTCTTTGGTCAGAGTTGTAAAAATGCAGGAAAAAGAGAAAAAGAGATCATTTCATTGCAGTATCACAGCCAACACAACTCTTAGGGGTTGAGCTTTACTGGTGCAACTAGAATGAATTTACTTCAGGAACTCAGCAGAACTGGAGAGGTCTATTCATGCTCATTTTCACTTCTTAAATTTAAAGGACACAACAGTCCCATGAACATTTCACATGACTTTAAAACACTCCAGGTCAGACAACCCAACACTTAAACATATTGAATCCTCCACTGTTAACATGAATTTCTGAGCTCCCTTTCTATAGGAACACTATTTGCTTCCTTTAACGTAGCTCTGCCTTTGTGAATGGGAGAAAACAAAATGTGCAGTTTTGACCTTGGAAAAAATCCATGCAGGAATTAAGTCAGAGAAAAACTGTGGAGGAACTTGGGGATGGCAAGTGCTGCTAACATTGGGTCTCATCACCACAGCAAAAAGTCCATGTCCCTTTCATTCCATTGCTGCTTACCAGGCCTGAGTGGATATCCCTCTCTCTTGTCCACTGTGTAGCCCTGGGGAATGTTGTAGAACTCAGGCAGGCCCCCAAACTGCTTCCACACAGTGTAATAGTTGAGGAAGGTCCTCATGGCATTATCCACATCCCCAATTAGGCTCTGAGAGAGAGCAAAACATGTGAGTGAAGAAGAAACAGCACAGGAATTGATCACTAACACTCCTCTAGTCAAGGCTGTGACAGAAATGGGTTGTTCATCAGGTCTGGATGGTGTAATTAACACCTGGACATGATGCCTTAGGAATAGGTAAGACAGAAGAGGTAGATGCTGCTTTGCTGTTGGATCACATTCCCAAACCTGAAGTAACATGAAGTCTCTTTGATTTTTGTTAACAGGAGGTTGTGTTTCTTCAGCCAACACTACTTTTAGACAATCACAGCATCCAGTCTCACAGTGGGGATTACAAAGTCTCACTCCAAGCATGAGGACTGATGAGAACAAAAAGCTCTCAATGAGAAACCATTCACACAAATAATGAAGTGGTGGAAAAAGAGGTGTGAATTTCTCTTTCCTTACATTCCTATCTAGATTATAAGGCCAATGTCAGTGGAGTTTGCTACAACAGAACTTCCCACCCATCATGCTGAGACTTTTTTTATAGACTGTAGATAAAACCAATTCCACAAATTCAGGCTACTGTAGATGTCACCACAGACCAAAACAAATTTAAACCTGCAGAGATGAGGGCTTATTTGTCACTTTTATATTAAAGATCAACCCATGAGAGATGAATAAAATCACCACATGCCACTGGTGTGACAGCTCTTACCTGTAGGCCTGGCCAGTAAGCCTCCAGGGACTGAAACACAGGCATGGACACTGTTCCTTTGTACATCTGAACCCAGAGGTACCAGTCATCAAACTTGGTGTAATTTTTGATAGCTTTGTTATATTCTGTAAAGAAACACAGATGGGTAGGCAAGCCACAAGAAAAAAAATCTTAGTTTTAAGAGAGAGAGAGAGAAGCCTCTTTTTCACCTGAGCCGTATCTAATGAATGACTGCTCAGGGTGCTCTCTTTGGTGACTCTGTTAGCACACACTGCTCTAAAGTATCACAGCAAAGGCTTCAGGAACAGTCCTGAATGTACCCTGTTAGATTCTTCATACTCTCCTTTCCCTGTGCTTTTCACAGGTGCAGCCAAAGAGGCATTGCTGGGCTCCTTCACAAGGAAAACAAACCACTCACCTAGAAACATGGACATCAGCTCCTTGTCCTGCAGGAGAATGGCTCCTTTGACCAGGTACTCAAAGTAGGAGTCCACTCCTGCCCCAATGCCAGCATCCTGGGCCACCCACTTGGCAGTGATCACATCAATGTGGTTACCAACCTGGAAGAAGGGAAGGAGAAGGAAAGAGGCAGTTAGAGTGACACAAGAAACCCTTGACCTTTGTTCAGACTTCTCATTTCAGATTCCAGTTTCCCAATGTCCATTCCAACTAGCACTTTCTCCATTGCAGGAAACATTGGTATCAGAGAAATACAAACTGTAGAAAATACAACTTTTGTGTTTATGAAGTAATACATATATATATATATATAATTTTATGCTTCCAATATCAATGCGGCACTAGCCAAACCAAAACACTATAATGCTACAGCAAAAAAACCCAAACACTATTTCAACATGAAGTGTGTGGTCCTAATTCTGATCTTATAAAAGAGTAGGGAAGGATGAAGAGGCACAGACACAGAGTGGGAGGGCAAGAATGTCAAAGGCACAAGAACTGCCATGCTAATATTTAAATAGATCCTTCAAGCCTGGGATTCTTCAGCCTATGAACAAACCCAGATGATGGGGAATAAAAAATATAATCATGTTTTGCTTAGCAAACATGAAGAAAAACCCCAGCAATTCAGTTTCTTTCTTGAAGGAGGATTAGGGTTATAAACAAAAACCCCAGCAATTCAGTTTTTCTTGAAGGAGGATTAGGGTTATAAACCCAAAAAAAAATAGATCCCAAAGCAAATAAAAGGAAACATTTCTTCATACAGCATAGGAATAAATCTGTTTCAATAAACACAGGGTAGGAATAAATCCGTTCCACTTCATATATGCAACAGTAGGAGTTCACAGTGGTTCAGAAAACAGCAATAGGAATTAACTGAAGACAGACTGACCAGGAAACAGGGAACACACTACACTCCCAGCTCTGGATATCCCAAAGCTGTAGAGGCTGTTAATATCTTGGTGCACTTGCCATGCTCTTACTCTCTTCCATAGGCCATTGTCCCACCAGGCATCAGACAGACCTTTGATTTAATTGCTACAGCTGCTGATACCAAAGCTGCAGTGCCCAGCAGGAAGCATTTTGTCTCCCAATCACATCTGTCATGGGACAGAACAATGGGATAATGTTGGGCAGCACCACTAAAGCAAATGTGTGGGTGCTGCAGGTGTCCAGGAACAATGTCAAACATGAGACTTCAGCCCAGCTATTTGCACTGTGGTTATTTGTCTAGTTCTCTCTCCTCTCCCTTTATGCTTTTCTCATGCTTAGCATTGCATCCACAAAGCCATACAGAAGCAGACAGGCAATTCCAAACCCATTCCTCACTCACCAGGCCAATATCAGAGCGATTTTTCCACAGTGCCTTCAAAGCCTTCCTGGCAACATCCTCGAACACTGGGTCACCAGTAAGGTGGCTTAAAGTGGCAAATTCCACTATAAAGGTGCCAATTCCAGCAGTACAGGTAACTGGGGTCTCCCCAGGGTTCACTCCATGCAGCAGGTTCACTGTGCCATATGGCATCCCAGTTGGGGTCTGAAAAGCTGGAACAGAGTATTTTTGGGTCACGTGGACGTTCAGCATTGTTTAACAGACTCTCAAGCAAACATGTGCTTCACATCCCACTGCACACAGACAAGAAGCAGGACTGGAGCAACTGCAGTGACTTCAAAGAGCAAAATGAGAAGTAGAGTGTGTTCCTGGAAGGGGAAGAGAGAGGGTGTCCCAAGGTACAGGCAGTTCTGGGAACGTACTGTGGATCTCCTCACCTTGCCCAGAGCAGCAGGCTGCAGCTCTACTGCTTTTACAGCCCAAGCAGAGTAGTCAAAATGGAACTAAACACACTGACAGCAAAGTGCAAACAGCTTGTGATCACTCTGGCACTCAGAGAGGGCAACAGTGCCATGTCACCAGGGCACACACCCCAGCTGCAGCCCACATACAGGAGATAATGCTGCATCTTCTTGTCTTTACCAGCTGCTGTTTCACAGCCTTTATTTATTATTTATATTAGATATATTTCCCCTCACCAAGCAGCAAACACAGCGACGTGTTAAGAGTATACAGCACTTGGCATGCACATATACAGCCTCTCATGCACTTCACAAGGTTTTCCCTGCAAGCCAAACTTGCTTTGAGCTCAGAGAACACAGCACTGGTTTGTGAGCTGACACATCAAGCTGTGTATCTTCACCCAACACAGCAGCCACCTCATGAACCTCAGCAGAGTGAGACAAGCCAGAGAGGTGCTCACCTGGCAGCAGTTTGCGAGCTGCTTCCTCTGCCATCCTCAAGAGAGGCCCCGAGCATGGCCAACCTGCCTCGACCTCCACACCAGCCTTCTTGGACAGCAGGTGAGCAGAGAGGAGCCCTCCCACCACTGCAAGGCACAGGGAGAGCACACTGAGCAACACGGGCAAGAATGAAGTCTCATACCACTTAGATTTCTCATTATCAGAGGCAGTTTATGGGCAAGAAAAGTGAGCTGGCTCATCCTTACCAGCTTGACTCAAACACCACAAAAGAGTGATTTCTTTCTTCTGCCTGTTTGCCATGGGCAGCAGGTATGTGTGGAGTGATAGGACAAAGGGTGATGGCTTTAAACTGACAGAGGGCAAGGTTACATTGCATATAGGCAGCCTGGATCCCTGGGAGGGGAATGAGTCACCTGGGAGTATCCACAACTTCCCAGAGAAGCTGTGGCTGACCCAGCCCTGAAAGTATTCCAGGCCAGGTTGGATGGGGCTTGGAGCAACCTGGGCTAGTGGAAGGTGTCCCTGCCCATGGCAGGGCATGGAATGAGATGGGATTTAAGGTCTCTTCCAACCCAAACCATTCTGGGACTGCATGACTGATACTATGACTCTATGTATTTCTTCCATTATTTTAGAAGGATCAGATCCTATTTGCCCTACTACACCTGCACTGCCCTAGGACCATCAGAGGATATGATATACAATATTACACTGCAGTCTAATGAACACAAACCTCTGTGAAAGGAATTCTGTTTCATTTCTTCCAGACAGCTTAATACTATGTTTGTGTAAAGCTCTCAAACTGCTTGGAGAAAACTGTCTAGGCCAGAGTCACAAATTTCCACGTGACAGGGACTTTTCAGCCCTTTTCACGGGCTTGTCTATGGTCACATACCAACCAATGTGACAGGGACTTATCAGCCCTTTTCACAGGCTTGTCTATGGTCACATACCAACCACAACACGGAGGAATGACACTGCTGCAAAAACCAGCCCAGCAATATCTGACAGGAGAAACAGCAAAAGCATAACTAACAGTTCTGTGCCATGACAGTGCTTTCAGGTGGATGCACTGAAGCAGTCAGGCATTCAACCAGGCACAACTCGAAAGGTCTTTGTGACTTTCAAGGAAAAGAAAAGACTAAAGCTAGGAATCAACAGTCTGTACTGTAAAACAGTATGTAAAAGAAGAGAGGATACAATCTGCACTCTTTCAGTGGAAAAGATGTATATTCCAAAGCTCAAAACGTGGCACCAGAATACTGAAACTGCCACGTTCACTTCTGCTTGTGTCGAGGCAGGAAGTAAAGAGGTGATGTGCAAAGGCAAAAAGGAAGTGACGTTTGTTTGGGATATTTCTGTCTGTTTATGTGTCCTGACACTCTGCATCACAAATTCACCCTGACCAGAGCCTCACATTACCTCTGTGTGCAGCTCCCAGACTCATACAGGAAGGAAACTCAGCATAAACACCACGGAAAAACCCACCTCACCTCGAATGTTAGTTTCAAAGACAGATGCATTGACATCAATATCGAAGTCCACTCCTTCCTGCAGCACATTGACCACACGCTGAAACTCAGACACATTGCCCAGGATCTGCAGGGGAGCAGGAAAACAGGGAACAAGGTTTAAAGTCCACAGGAAAACAAAGCGGCAGCTCAATGTTAGTGGCTGATTCTAGCTTTGTTTTACTATTTTGTGACACGATTGCAGATAGTACTAAGAAGGAAACTGATGGTTTCATCTCGTTTCAAAACATTTTCTTAACACAGTTTAGGTCATTATTCCAGAGCTTGAAGGTGGGGGAGACAAGTAAGGTACTGGGATCGTCTCATTCCACCCCCTGCCATGGGCAGGGACACCTTCCACTAGCCCAGGTTGCTGCAAGCCCCATCTAACCTGGCCTGGAACACTCCCAGGGATGGAGCAGCCACAGCTGCTCTGGGCAACCTGTGCCAGTGCCTCACCACCCTCACAGGGAAGAATTTCTGTGGATCTCCTCACCTTGCCCAGAGCAGCAGGCTGCAGCCCTACTGCTTTTACAGCACAAGCAGAGTAATCAAAATGGAACTAAACACACTGGACAGCAAAGTGCAAACATCTTGTGATCACTCTGGCACCCACAGAGGGCATTTGTGCCATTCCCCCAGGGCACACATCCCAGCTGCAGCTCACACACGAGAGATAAGGCTGTAGCTTCTTGCAGGTGAGCTCTGACCACCTGCCTCCCAAGGCTGAAGCGAAGTGTAACGCAAACCTCGATGAATAACCGACTTTCTGCCCCTACCACGTCCAAACCAGGTGCACTGACGCCTTGGGGCTGAGCTGCAAACACACACACAGCTGTCTATACTCACCAGCAGCGTGTCCAGGGCGTCGATCAGCGTGAGGGAGAAGCTGTGGAGGAGAGCAGCGCGGTGAGAGCCGGCGGGGAGCGGGACCCA